TCCAGAGAAGGGACAGTGGTTTGGACATGTCCAGAGGAGGGGCAGTGGTTTGGACGTGTCCAGAGAAGGGACAGTGGTTTGGACGTGTCCAGAGAAAGGACAGTGGTTTGGACATGTCCAGAGGAGGGACAGTGGGTATATTGGTAGAAGGATGTTAGAAATGCAGCTGCCAGGAAAAAGACAAAGAGGAGATATATGGATGCAGTTAGAGAGGACATGGTAGTTGGAGTGAGGACAGAGGACGCAGTGGACAGAGTGAGATGGAGGAGGATGATTTGTTGTGGCGATGCCTGAAGAGGGAACAGCCAAAAGCTTCTGTTCTCTCTATTTTTGTAAAGCACTTTGATTCTGTAGATTTAAAACGTTTTATAAGGAAACCTGACATCCATCCATTATCTTTACCCGCTTCTTCCGTTTAGGGTCACGGGGGTCGCCGGTGCCCATGTCCAGCAATCACTGTGCGAGGGGCGGGGGACACCCTGGACAGGTCGCAAGTCCATCAGCTTCCATGATGTAAACATGTTAAAACAGACATTTTGATGTTGTTTTAGAGTAAAACTCTTTATGGCTGTTACTGTGATTTACTGGATACATTACTTGTTACGTCCCTTGGTACAAATGTTTGATTGAAAACGTTCTACACGAACTTTTCTCACTGGTTTTGTGTTATTCTAATGCTGTCCATTTGCAAAACAAAAACATTGCGTGACGTCACGACGTGAGTTTTTACGTCAGTACGTAAGAGCAGGTGCAGAGAGAGCTTTGTCATAACAACCGTTACCAAGGTAAAGTGGGGATCTATCGGAGCCTTTTAGAAAGTCTTTTAAACCCGTTGCTGCTAAAGCCAGGGAAACATTACTGTGTTGTTGCTGTGAGGCACCGGAGGACCGCCATGACTCTGAACCAGAACCACTCGGAGTCCGGCGGAGTGATCATCAACAACAGTGAGAGGTATCGTTGGCCTGATGTCAACACAGCAGCCTGCAGACAACTGCTAATAAAACAACAACTTTTATTATCATTATAACTTATTTAAACACCCACGATTATATATAATAATGCATCTGTTGTTGCGCTTGTACCTAACAATAAAAACATGTAGAGCAAAATGTTTAAAAAAATACAATAGGGCCTAATAGTCGCGAGTCAACAACAAACTTCACGTCTCAAAAAATGCGACAATATGGTTGTTGTGAATTCACTCCGAGTTGTACAGAACCAGCCTCTGGGCTCAGTTTATTACTCATCCTCTCCTCCGGGACCAACACGAACAGACCACCGCGGTAAAGTTAGTTTCCTGATGATGTGAAGATGAAGGTTTCCAGTTTAATGCAAATATTAGCATTAGCTCATCTGAGCTGCTGCTAGCTCACCGGCTTCCGTACATCCCGGCCTGCTGTGCTGTGAAATTCATTCAACCTTTATTTATACTGGTTAGTCTCATTGATCCTCGAGGACTCATTTACAAGAGAGACCTGTAAATGTTAAATGTTTGTTCACTGAGTTTTCCAGAACATACAGAACCAGCCATGTTTTAGTTCTGTCCCTACATGAGCTGAACCAACTGATGGGACGTGATCGTCCGCTGCCGAGGGTGATCATGTTTTTTGTTTGTCTTGTTTTTTTAAAGCAAAACATCTAAAAAATCTTTGAGTTTTAATGAAACTTTCATCCATCCATCCATTCTCTTCCGCTTATCCAGGGTCGGGTCGCGGGGGTAGCAGCCTAAGTAGGGAGGCCCAGACTTCCCTCTCCCCAGCCACTTGGTCCAGCACCTCCAGGGGAATCCTGAGGCGTTCCCAGGCCAGCCGAGAAACATAGTCCCTCCAGCGTGTCCTGGGTCTTCCTCTGGGTCTCCTCCTGGTGGGACGTGCCTGGAACACCTCACCTGGGAGGCGTCCAGGAGGCATCCTAACCAGATGCCCGAGCCACCTCAACTGGCTCCTCTCGACGTGGAGAAGCAGCGGCTCTACTCTGAGTCCCTCCCGGATGATCGAGCTTCTCACCCTGTCTCTAAGGGAGAGCCCAGACACCCTGCGGAGAAAACTCGTTTCGGCCGCTTGTATCCGAGATCTCGTTCTTTCGGTCACAACCCAAAGCTCATGACCATAGATGAGGGTAGGAACGTAGATCGATCGATAAATTGAGAGCTTCGCCTTTTGACTCAGCTCTCTCTTCACCACGACAGACCGGTACAGCACCCGCTTCACTGCTGACGCTGCACCTATCCGTCTTATCGATCTCATCTTCCATTTTTCCCTCATTCGTGAACAAAACCTCGAGATACTTAAACTCCTCCACTTGGGGCAGAACTACATGAAACTTTCAGATACTAATAATCACTGGTTGTACTGAATATGTTTGGAGTCAGCTCAACTTAACACGGCTGCCACAGCTAATTTACTTCAGCCCATTCAGAGGTGACTCCAGCTCTTTGAGCTAAAACCTGGTGGTGGTAGCTGAGGGTAGTTATCAACACCTGCTCTGAAGACTACACGTTTATGCATCATCCTTCAAATTTTAGGGACAACTATTAGAATCGACTGGCTACATTTTGACACTCGTTCTCTGCTTTTGACCTGACACACACGTGTTATGCAGATATTTAAGCACCTGGGGAGCAGGTAGGGCCCTTGCTCAAGGGCACTGCGACACATAAGCATGGCTCGGAACCAAACCTGTGACTTTCCCATCCTATGGCACCTGCCTTACCACTGCTCCACAGCCACCTGAGTGTGATGCAAGCTGCTCCTCAACACAAACTGTAGTTCAACAGATCTCTCTGTATGGCATGAGGTTGTTTCTTGTTTATAACCTGATGATTTATGAAGTTTAACCAAAACAACAACTCTGTTATTCCTCCACATGAGATGATTGTAGTTTAAGACAGTAGTTTAGATCGTAGTTCCACCAGCAGTCACATGCTGAAGTGTCCGTGTGCACTGAACCCCTCATTGCCTCTGATGTTTGTCCCATCGGTGAATGAATGTGATAAAGTGCTGATTAATCTCTACAGATTCAGATTATCTTTGTACAGATCTAGTATCTAGTTTATTCAAGGGGAACATGTCCGACAATTTAGACAAGTCGTGTTTGATCATTTCTTTTTGAAATCGTTACATTTTCTCACCAGTGTGTTGATGAACCACGACAACGTTGAGCTGGTGTTTTGTGACGCTGACAGTCTACCTGAAGCCTTCAGAAAGAGCAAAAAGGGCAGTATTTACTTAACACCGTACAGGGTGAGTACTCCCAACCTCACGCTCCTTCTCCCCCCCAGAGGTGACTCTCCATGTCTCCATGGGTCAGAGCACCAAGGCCTTTGCACTGCACCTTCAGCACCACTTATAAAAAATAGATAAAAGAACGTACGAGAAAGAAAATCCAACTCGTCATAAACCAAACATGTAAACACAGAAGGTGTTTGCTCCTTCCTGGTTCTTCACATACAAGATGTTCACCATGAGTTGAAATTCTAACCTGAGTCTCTAACAACGCTCTTGTTCGTGTGACTGTAACATCAGAAGCTGTTTGAATTCCAGGTGATCTTCTTGGCTAAAGGGCGGGACGCGCTGCAGTCCTTCATGATGCCCTTCTACCTGATGAAGAGCTGTGAGATCAAGCAGCCTGTCCTGGGGGCCAACTACATCAAGGGCGCAGTCGGTGCAGAGCCTGGAGGTAGAACTGTCGTTCAGCCTGACCCACTGTGTCGGGACCATTCGACTGATGGTGTTTTGTCTCGCAGGTGGCTGGGAGGGCAGCGCTGCGTTCAAGCTCATCTTTGCCGCCGGAGGAGCCATCGAGTTTGGCCAGTGCATGCTGCAGGTCGCAGCCGCAGGTCCGATGACGACGACACTACGTTCAATCTTTACAGCTGTGAATACATTTCTTCTTCTCATGATTCTGTGTGTTGCAGCATCCAAAGGACAACCTGTGACTTCTGGATTTGGAGGCTGCCCCTACATGGCTAACGGCGCCTACGCTTACCCTCCTCCCCCTGCTAATGGCATGTACCCTCAAGGACCTCCCCCGGGCTACTCCTACCCCACCCCCCCTGCAGGTAAGGGCTGCTGCTTCATTATCATCTGTGGCTGTTTGTCAGCTGGACTCACTGGCTCATTTTCTCCTATCCAGGTGGATTCTACCCCACCCCCCCGGCGTTCGATGCGTCTGCGAGCTACGTCCCTCCACCTCCTTATTCAGCTCCTCTGGGTCAGCAGCCGCCTCACGACCCGGACCTGCCCTCCTCCGCAGCAGGTGAGTCTGAGCGAGGACAATCAATTATTCAAAACGAACGGCAACACGTATCAACGGATCAGATCGTCTGTCAGTACATTTAGAACGTCATTTTCATTTGGCTGCATTTCTTCTGATATTTGATCTTATCTGAAAGTATTCAAGTTTTTATTAGTTAATTATTGTTTAGACAAGTTATTCTGAGCTAATTTAAACTGAAGAATTAGGAAAATCTGTGTAGGTGTCAAGTTACACTTTTATTTTATGCAGCTTTGTGTTTGATCACAATAATTTAAAAAAAACATTTAAAGTTCTCCGACAGACAGGTGGAGCCTCTAATCCTGACGGTGTTTTGTTTTTCTGTTTGATGCTTTACGCCCCGTTTACACAAAAACGATTTCTGGTGAAAATGGAAGAGTTACGTTGTGTTTGTTCTGTTCATTTACACGAAAATAGCAAATGTTTTCTCTGACAGCGGCACAATTTGCAATGGTTCAAAAACGCCCCGTGTCCGTTGTCGTGTAAACGGAAAAAATATAAATTTTTTGTCAGGGAATCCCTGACTCATGCGCAGTGTGACGCAAAACATAATGGCTTCCTATAATCCACAGAAGAAGAAGCTATCAACAATGACGGATATTTTGTTTGTACTATTGTTTGTACTATTGTTTGTACTATTGTTTGTGCAACAGTTGAACCTCGTCATCCGTCCATAGAAATATTTTATTCTCTGCCATCTCTCCACCGTTGTAGCGATTTTCAAGTAGAACTTTTTTATTTATGCGTGTGCACTTAGTTTCAAGTTTCAAAGAACATAGCACCTACTAGTGGCGTGGAGAGGGAATTACACCTTTTCCGCGTCTACCGTTGCTGTGTAAACAGATTGTAATTAGAACATTTTCATGTAAATGTGTTAATAGAATTGGGGAAGAAAAAAAATCAGTTTTCAGTGGATCGTCGTGTTAACAGGGTCTTAAAGTGATGAAAACATTTTCAGGGCTGTCGTAAATCAGGCAGGAATGACCTAAACTCTGGTCAACGAATTAGAAATAGTGGATCAACACATTTATTGTTCTCACGTTCAGGCAGCGAGTCACATGCAGGAGCAGAACATGATTCATTCACAGCTGCTGCTGGAGATGATTCTCTAAAACATCTGAACTTTGTAATAATCCTCAGAGCACCAAAGAGAAGCTCAGAATGAAGCTACAGATGTTTACATCAGGAGCATGGAGGGTGTATTAATTTGTGATTTTATTGATTATTCATTCATTCATTCAACCTTTATTTAAACAGATAAATCACATTGAGCCTCGAAGACTCATTTACAAGTACCTCTGCGTATGGATGTACGCGGCAGTATACTGGGGGCCTTAACTGTGACTGAGTTTGGAAAAAAAAAACGTGTGCACCTAAATGTTGTTTGTAAATGTTACCATACCATTTTATTTATAGAGCACTTAAAACAGCGACAAGGCCAACCAAAGTGCTGTACAGACAGAACAACGGGTAACACACAAAGCAACATACAAAATGAAGTTAATCAGAATATAGACATAAAAATGATGCAGATAATAAATATAACGACTAACCAGTGTGGAGCGTACAGGTTCAATATACAGATCCTCTGGTGTTGAAAGCTACTGAATAGTAGTGGGTTTTTAAATGTGACTTGAAAACCGAGAGGGAGGGGGCCTGTCTGACAAGCAGAGGTAACTTGTTCCAAAGTCTTGGTCCTGCTACAGAGAAGGCCCTGTCACCTCTGCGCTTAAGACGAGTTCCTGGAACTGTGAGGAGCAACTGGTCCGCTGACCTCAGGGAACATGGTGGGACAAACGGCTGTAGCAAATCAGAGAGATGGGGGGGGGGGGGGGGGGCACACTGTTCAGTGATTTGTAGACATACAGGAGTATTTTGAACCACATTCCAACATCAGTAGAGAGGAGAGGGACACACTCACCACTCTTAGCAAGGACAAAAACATCATCATTCTCCCAGCAGACAAAGGAAGGTGCACAGTGATTTTGAACCAGAAAGACTATCATGAGAAAGTTATGACACTCCTTAGTGACGTAAACGCTTATGAACCTCTGAAAAGAGATCCAGGAAGTGGTTACAAGAACAAATTGATAGATTGCCTGAAAATTTTGGAGCAGGACAAGGCTATTGACCGTTTTCTGTACCATAGACTGTACCCAGGGGAGGCCACACCTAGTCTGTATGGTTTACCTAAAATCCACAAACAAGGTGTACCTTTAAGACCAATTGTTAGTATGATTAACTCTGTCACTTACAATGTTTCCAAATATCTGGCGTCTGTACTCATCCCTTTAGTTGGCAGCTCAGAACACCACATACAGAACACCATGGACTTTGTGGATAAGGTGAGGGATGTCATCATGGAGACTGATGAAACAATGATCTCTTTTGATGTCACATCACTCTTTACGTGCATTCCTGTTGATGATGCAGTAGAGGTGGTCAGTTTAAAATTAAAATCAGACACCACTCTGAGCAGCAGGACCACGCTTTCCACAGAACAACTGTGTCAACTCTTGAAACTGTGCCTGCAGTCAACCTACTTCACATATGGGGAGCAATATTATAGGCAGAAACATGGGTGTGCTATGGGGTCTCCAGTTTCTCCTATTGTTGCCAACCTGTACATGGAGGATGTAGAAAAGAGAGCCTTGACGTCCTTTTCAGGGACACCACCAAGTCATTGGTTCAGGTATGTTGACGACACCTGGGTTAAAATTAAATCTCAGGAAGTCCAACATTTTACTGACCACATCAACTCTGTGGATAAATACATCAAGTTAACACGAGAAGATGTAAAATATGGCAGGTTGGCTTTCTTGGACTGTGAGGTCTCAGTCTCTGATAGAGGACAATTGCAAACTGGGGTGTACCGCAAACCCACCCACACAGACCAGTATTTGCAGTTTGACTCCCATCACCCTTTGGAGCACAAGTTAGGAGTCATCAGGACTCTGTATCACAGAGCAGACAGCGTCCCCACTAGCTCAGGAGCCAGGCAGAAGGAGAAATCCCACACAAGACAGGCTCTAGAGCAATGTGGATATCCTAACTGGGCCTTCCTGAAAGCAGAGAAGAAACCCAAACAGGACTCCAGTCAGCCAACAGGTGAAAAGGAGGAACCCAGACCCAGACCAGTGGTCATTCCGTATGTTGAGGGAGTATCAGAGAAACTGAGACGTTTATTTTCTAAACATAACGTCCCAGTGGCTTTTAAACCCCAAAATACATTACGGCAAAGACTGGTTCATCCCAAAGATCCAGTCCCCCGGCACAAACAGAGTAATGTTGTGTATGCTGTTCAGTGTCAGGAGGGCTGTGATCAGTCTTACATCGGGGAAACTAAACAGCCACTGGCCAAAAGGATGGACCAGCACAGAAGATCAACATCATCAGGCCAGGACTCTGCGGTCTACACTCATCTCCAGGCCAGCGGTCACTCTTTCAGGGATGAAGATGTTCACATCCTGGACAGAGAGGAACGATGGTTTGAGAGAGGAGTAAAGGAGGCCATCTTTGTGAAAAGAAACCGTCCATCATTAAACAGGGGTGGAGGCCTCCGGGTTCAACTGTCCCCCTCTTACAATGCTGTGATTGCTAGTATCACTCAGCCCTCTGTGAATAGTAAACAGCCATCAGTGTGCTAATGATCCATTTTTAGGCTGATGGTCCTTCTTGAGCATGTGATCAGCTGGTTTTGGTTGTCAGCAGCAAACTGGTTGATCCACTCTGAGACGGTGCTATTTAAGAGACTGAGCTGAAAACAGCACCTCAGACTGAGGAAGTCTCTCGGATGAGAGACGAAACGAT